CCTGCACCTCTCTAGGCAACTGATCCTGAGCACACGTCTCCACGGCGGCATGAGTCATTGCTTTTTAGATCACACTCTCCGTGCAAGAGCCGAGAAATCGATATCTCTCACAAGGTTGCAGACGTGCTGGAAACTGATTAGTCATTAACCTATTGTCACTCCTCTCAGCGCCCATGGAAGGAGCTGCAGCATGTCCATGGATTTTGAAAGAGTATCAGGAGTAAACTTCTCCACGGCAGTGGGCATTTGTGAAAGGTCTGTTCTGGAATACCAGTACCATCTTCTCACATGTTAAGGGGCAAAAATCTCAGTGAGTCACCCCAAATCAGGTTTTACAGATGATTTTTTGAAATGTTGATTCTGGTATCATCCCTGAAAATTTAATTGATCAAATAAGCCCATAAAGTAGGGTCTTTTCAAGGCATGTAAGGACCATTCGGCACCAGATGGACAAGAAAATGAACATATTTAATGTTACAGTCAGCAACGTTTTGTTGATGCTTTGGAAACTGAACTGCAAAGAAGTGCTTAAATGAACTGAAAGAGTTAATTTGACTTCTAAGAGCCATAAACTGGCTTGGGTTGGGTGGATTCTATATTCCCAGACTCTGGTTCAATAAAAATGTAAATGTTATCTGGGTACACAAAGCATATTTCATGGTGATAATGAATCTGTTGACATACTGTTCATACTTTATTATATAAATTTTAGTAATGTATTTGCCAGAGAGAAAAATGAATACACAGGGAAAGACTCTGTGCTCAGCTCTGCAACCTGCCCCGGGTTGGCTGGCACACGTCCGCTTCTGTCCTTGGCGCAGTTTGCTGGGCTGCCTTGATTTAATCAATCAGAACCCTGTGGATGTTGAGAGGAACACGACGGCGTCATTGACTGAGCTAATCTAACTGGATTTGAAATAGGAGCTAGAAGATGGGTTATTTTTAAAACAAAACCCGCTGATGCATAAAACTATCCTGCAGCGTGATTTCTTAGATTTATAATCAATTGGGTGTATCTTAGTGTGTATGTAATCCATGAGAGGTGACCAGACTAGGAGGGGATAGGTGGCTTGAGTTCACAGGCAGAGAAGGCCTTGTCCTTTGGCTGGCCTGCCATAGGCTCTGCCTGCAGGCCCAGACTGGAGTGCTGTTTAGTGTGACCTGTTACCAGGACAGTCTTTCTAATTTGCAGGGCCACAGGCAGAATGGACATGCAGAACCCTTTGATCAAAAATTTGTAAGAATTTCAGGGTGGTGACAGCAGAACCTTCAACCAGCTGCACAAGTCACAGATCCAGAAAGTCAGCCTTGCTTGCTGGGTTTTGAGGATAGAGGGCTGCCCTCTAGCGTTACAGGAAAGAGGACTTCTGTTTCCTGATGTTTGCTTTTAATTTTTTCTCCCACAGGCCCCGTTAGAGATTCCCCAGCAGGTTTCTTTTTGCCACAAATAAATTGCTACAGAGTAAATCTATGGGAGAACCCCTTGCTCTCCACGCCTTACCCTTGGAGTGGCGGCCCTGCTACCCAGAGGCACAGAGATGAACCACAGGACTCCTCGGGGTCCCTTTAGTTTCAAGAGTCCGTATTTCACACTCCTGGCTTTGTACTAAAGGACATTTTTCATTTTACTTCATATGGCTTGTGAGTTATTATTTTGCTTCTTTTTTTCTTTTTTTCCTTTTTTAAAATAGAAACTGTTGTGGAAAACTTTTTAAAATGCATACTTAGCGCACTCTATTCTAAAACATAAATACAGCAACTGTAATGATCGTACTGTTCCACTTTTTTTTTGTATTAAACATAAAGCAACGACAGAAGCCCCCATAAAAATAAGCATCAAAACAAAACAAAGATCCAACAAAGCCTCAGAGAAGCCCTGACATATTCTTGATTTGTATATTATTTTCCTTCCAAGTCCTGTGTCTATGATGAAATTCAAATTGTAGTGTTCAGGAGGAAAGGAGGAGTAGGAATGTTGATTTTTGCTCCTGTTTCACTTCTTGTAGCCCTACTTTTCAAAGTAAATTGGAAACTATTACAAGGGTCCCAGGATCCCTGTCTTTCCCACCCCCTCATCCTGCCCCCTTCATCCAGCACATGGTAGGTACAAAATGTTAGTTGAATGACTGATGAAAGCATGAGTGAATTAAAAAACTCAAAAGGGTCAAGGGCAAAATAATTTCCATGTCATTACGTTGTAACAAAGTTTCTTAAACGTCTTAAGACTCCCTTTACCATACAGAGAACATATATATGGTATAGATAATGGATATTTAAAAGATTCCACTTCCCCACTAGGAAGAAGGAAGCAGTAATTAAGCATTTCCTTTTCCTCACAAGTTTTTTGGCTCTTTTAGCATAAACCTAAATGACAGATTATTTATTTTTTTCTTCCCTCTTGAGTGGGCGAAGGCAAACATCAATACAAGGGATAAAGAAGAAGCAAGGATTGGAGAGAAGATAAATAATTAGTCTGTTGATAACACAGGAAAGGACTGGAAATGTGCAACTCTGCCCACCCCAGAAAGACCAAGCACACAGCAGGAGGAAGACAGAACCAACACAATAGAAACCGTGTCCAGCTTCCCACTCAACCATGTTTCCTTGGAAGGGATTGGGTTCTGGATATTTATACCGGGGATTCATCAGTGTTGTCTGTCATTGAAGCTTGCTCTCAGAACCTTTAGAAACCTAAAATCTGGGAGTATAGTAATCACATCCTCAGGTTCACAGCAAAGCACTGAGCCAAAGCACCCAGCCCAGTGAGGATTGATGGGAGGGTCTGAGGTTGAAATTACCTGGGTTACAGTCGCAGGAGGGTGTTGGAGTAGGGGTTGAGGCAGCAGTCCACGAACCCAGCAGGGAAGAGATTTTCTTTCTGCTCTTAGGGCAGGATGACCCACGATGGGAGGTGAGCCTTGGGACCTACAGGATGCTTCAGGGGGACCCCGTCCTACCCATTGCCTCCTCCTCCACTCCTGGCCTCCAGGTCCTCAGAAGGAGGGAAGTCCAGGGACCATGGAGCCTGGTGGGGCCGGACCTGATGTCCTGCACGCTGCCCTGAGCCCAGTCTCCCCGGCCACCTCCCTGCCTCCGGTCTCTGTGAGATCTGCGGGTGAGCTGTGCAGCTCCTGAGCCCTCACCCTTAGGCCCCGTGGGCACTGACTGCTGCTAAAATGAAAACCTCTGGAAGGATCCCGCCTGGGTCTCCGTGCCCGGCCTGGCCCTGTGCTCAGGGTAACACAGCTACCTAACTTACATGCCCTCTGCCAGCGAGGAGGACACAACAGCCAGGGAGGCGGGGCATGGGGCCATTCGAGAAGGTTCTGAGGTCTTAGGTGGTGACAAAGGCTGAGTCCTGAGAACTGGTCATCTCCTGGAAGAGATGAAAAGTATATGGAACAGTCCTCTGGGGCTGCCCTCTGGGCTGCTCGTTGGTGGCAGGAGAAGGGAGGGTCCCTGTGCCTTGGATTCTTTAGGGTAAGGCTTTGGGGGACGAGGTGGGATTTCGGGGCTCTTTGGGCCGGACTACACTGGAACAGCAGGAAACCTCCAGAAGGGTGGGTTCCTTTGGTGATCAGCGATGAAGTCCCTTCAGCCCCCAGGGCGAGGGCCAGCGGCCTCCGCTCCCACGTGTGTTGGGAGGGGACACTGTCCCTGATGACATCTGCTCCCAAGGCTCCTGTCGGGTCTCTAGCGCCTCCTGCGTCCAGTCCCCCAAACTCCCAGGGCCCAGCCATCCGCCCCCGCGCCCAGCCGCTCTCCCCAGCGCCCCTTTGCCGCCATTCCCGCTCGGCAGAGGGGCTCGGCGAGGACCACGACCAGCCACGGGGCACTCCTGTAAACCTGTGATACCACAGGCTTACTTGGCACCTACAAAGTGTGACTGAAGCTGAGCGTGCAGGGCGCAAGGGAGGCTGCCTCCCGAGGCCGTGGCGGGGGCTCCCAGTGCAGTCACTGCCGCTTCACTTCCACATCGTGCAGGTCTCCAGTTAGCGTCCTCTGGCGTTTCCGCGCCCTGCCGCCCTTGCAGGGAGCCCTGGCCCTCTCAAAAGGGTGGAGAAGTTGGGGGAGCCCTCAACCCCGCTGCGCTGAGGGGAAGAAGGGCTGGACGGTAAACCCGTGCCCAACGCGGGGAGGCGGGAAAGGTGGGAAATCCCCTCCAGGGCCCCCAAGAGAGTGAAAAGGAGGGAGTCCCCCGCTGTCCTCTGACCCGCGTACTAAAGGAGGGACCCCCGGGTCCTCTGACCCCGGCTGTGCTCTGTGACTGTGGGGGAGGGTGGGAGCAGGCCCCGCAGCCCGCTAAGGGGTGGGGAACAGGAGGGCGGCAGCCTCCCTGCCCGCTGCCCTTGAGGTACTGGAGAGGAGCTTAGGAGCCCCGCAGTGCTCCGAGCCAGGTGGGGCGGAGGAGTCGGGGGGTGGGACTCCCTCCCTCCACCCTCTAGGCTGTGTTCTTACTTCTTAGTGGGGAGGGCTGTCCCTCCCACCCCACCCACGCTGCACTCCGGATAGGGTAGAGGAGGTGGACGACCCGGTGGCTGAGTGTGGGAGGGCGCCGGGCGAGGACGACCCCTGGCCGGGGCGCAGCGGGAGCTCCCCAAGTCAGCCACTCCCCTCACCGTCCAGCCCCCGCAGTCCCCAGCCTGCAGTCCGGCCGTCGGGTGGGGGCCTACACCGCCCCTGCACAGAGGCCGGCTGCGCGCGGGGCGGGGAGCGGCGGGCGGAGGGCCCCGTGGAACCCGCCCCCTCCCGCGAGGTGGCGGTGGCGGCGGCGGCGCCGGGAGCTGCCCCCGAGGCCGCCGCCCGGCCCCCGCCCCTCGAGGCCGCCGCCCGGCCCCTTTCGCCTGCGCGTCAGCCGCCCAGGCCCGGGGCGTTGAGCTCCGCCCGCGCCGGAGGCCCCTGCGCGCAGCTCCGGGCGCCGGCAGCCGGGCCGGCCGAGGCGGCGCGGGGGTGGGACGCGGGCGGTCGCGGCAAGCGGCGCTGCCCGGGCCGGGCGCGCACGGCGGGCGCCCTGTGAGCGGCCCCGATGTGGCAGCAGGCGATGCGGCGCCGCCGCTACCTGCGGGACCGCGCCGAGGAGGCGGCGGGCGGCGGAGACGGGCTGCCGCGGTCCCGGGACTGGCTCTACGAGTCCTACTACTGCATGAGCCAGCAGCACCCGCTCATCGTCTTCCTGCTGCTCATCGTCATGGGCGCCTGCCTCGCCCTGCTGGCCGTCTTCTTCGCGCTCGGGCTGGTGAGTGGCCTCCCCGTGAATCCAGCGCCTCGCCTTCCCTGGCCCCGAGAGGACCCGGGCCAGCCGAGCCGCGTCCCGCTCTGGGCTGCCCCGCGGCCCGCGGCAACCCCTCGGCCCGCGGCTCCCTGCTCCTCCTGCCGGCCCGCAGCCCGGTGTGCTCTGGCAAGGGCTGCGGGCGAGAGAAAAGTTTCCTGGGAAGGCTCTTCCCAAAATAAAGTTGCCGAGGTGTTCACCAGGTGGACCGGCAGGGCGTGTGCTTTTTGCATCTTTGCGCACCGCTGGTAAACTCTGCGCTTTCTGCCGGGCGCCGCTGCCCGCAGCGCTCGAATAGGTCTCCCCAGAATCAGCCCTGGGCTTCCTGGGCGAGTGGCTGTCTCCTGCCCGGTTCCGCTGGCACGGCCCCGCAGCTGGCATTTTAGTTTGGATTGGGCGTTATTCAACTCTGCAGAAAGCCTGCCGGGAAAGTGGTTAATGACAAGGAAAATGAAGAAGAAAAATTAAGTATACATCTTTGCCTTTGCTAAAATCATTTAGCCCTTTAGCCCGATAGACAGAAAGTGATGGGGTGTTGACTTGTGAATCTTTCATCTCAGGGTCTACAGTTAAGAAGCGTTTGGGAGGGACGGTTGCTTTCCCGTTTCTAGAGAAGTAACGTGGTTAGGGTTTTGGACAGGTTATTAAAGTGGATTTCATCACTAGGAGTATAATGCAGCTCAACAGCCAGTTTTGCCAGTTTATATTTTTCCAGCAGAAATCCTTGGCTCGCTCCCTTGAAAAGTGAGGGGAAGTCTGTAGATGGCGATAACTTCCTGTTACTGATCTCTGAGTGTGTGGTTCAAACTTTTGCACTGCCTGTGACATGCATGTGCAGATTTTGTGCGAGGCATCGATTATCCAGCGAGATTTTTTTTTTTTTTTTTTTTTAGTCGGTGGTTGATCTGTGAATGTCTCCACTGGGTGATTTTTTTTTTTTTTTTTGGCTTAGAATATAAATATGTGCCTATATTTATATGTGTCCACCACCAAAGAAGTAGATTTTGCTTATGTTTCACCATGCATAAAATAGCTGTCCTTGGTATTTGGCAATTTGTTTCGGATATCCAGAGCCAGATGGTGTTCAAATGTTATGCATGGGAAGAATTGTTACCATCATGTTTTTAAAAAATAAAAAAATGTCCCCACACCACTCAATGGTAGCTGTCTACTGATTGAGTTCAATGAGGTAAGAATAGAAAATAGAATGTAGGAGGCTATGAAGTCACAAATCACACACTGGCTCTTGTACTATCAAACCTGGAGCAGAGAGTACCTTTTGATCCCTGTAGTCTAGATATGCGTCCGGAGCAGCCCTCACTCTCTCCACATGGAACCAGCCTTCTATGCTCTCTGGAATGGCATTTTTATTTCTCTTTACTACTTTTAGGAACAAAAAGGACTTGGGGAGAGACTTCTGCTCAGTCTTATGGGCAAGCAGGATCTCTAAGGACATCTACTTATTGTTTTTTACTTGCCAGGAAGAAAAGAAACATCAGAGTTGTCCTTTGGAAATCTGTTCTGCTGGAGGCATTTCGGCTTGCCATTCTCTTGAACCTGTAATTCAAACCTGCTCTGGCTTGTTCTCTTCTAAATGGAAAGGAGCAGGTGATGACCTATTTCTAGCAGCATTAATATATTTAAAGACAAGTGTGAAGTTCATGCTTCCCCTGCACACACGACTTTGTTTTCTGTGATAGAGAATTCTAATTTCTTAAACTTGGTTGATGGAGATTCTTGAATGGGTCACTCAGATTTAGCATGATTGGGTTTAAAGTACCCTTCTTTGAACTGTCTTTGCTCTTTATATTTGTGTTTCTATATTCAATTCCTTTATGTTCCTTTTTGCTTGGTGCATCTGTAGGAGTGGTATTCTTTTCACAACGTTATCCAAACATCTTTACTTTTCTTGATAAATCAATCATTTTCATGCTCCTCTTGCCTTCAGCTAAATCATTTTAAGCACAAATTGGGCATTTCCCACAGCATGGCTGTCACCTATGGTGAGGTCCAGAGAGAGTGAAATGAATCCTGTTCTTGGCCGTACCTAATTCATGGTCTCATGTCTACTCTGTGCACCCTTCAAAGAGATAAGCTGTGCAGAAATGTTCCAGAATCAGGGAGGGTAACTCAGTCTGGTAGAAAAGCCACCTTCAGGCAGAGACCAGCTGCAGGATCAAGTCGGAAGGAGCTATGCCTAGGAGCAATGTGCCCTGTGTTCTGAAAGTGGACCTGAGTCGGGACTGGGATGATGTTGGGCCCCCAACAGCCTGTTTCTATTTTGATTTTGGAAGCACCATAACCAACATCTCTGCTTTCTAAAACGTGTTCTCCATCTAGATAGTCAACGATGGCTGGGGTAGGGACATTTGAAGATAGACTAGGTAGGCTAAGGTAAAGCTGTGTTCGTGTAATTAGAGGTGAGTTCATTTCTTGAGCTGGCAGAGCTTGGCTTCAGAGAGGTCTACCTTGGGAGGTGGCAATGGCTGCTTTGGGACCCTGCCAGGGTTTCCATGCTGGAGCACTTTACTTGAATAGCTGGGCTGCCATGCAGTTCAGGAGCTAAGCAGATCTATTTTTGCTGCCTAAAATCTTGGACAGATTCCTTTTTTTCCCCCTGAATCTGCCTGATTTTGATTTCCATTAGACTTTCGTCGGTTCTTGTAGAAGTTTGGCAATTTTCTTAAAGCACATCCCTAGCCTCCTAGAGCAAAAAAGCATTTGGACTACACCATGCTCTTAGTATAATGCTAGTACATAGAGATTTTTTTTTGCTGTATGTAATTGCCTTTGTAGAAGTGATTTGGAATGCATACTAAAAAGAAAAAAGCAAACTTCATTTTGATTTAATATTTCCCTAATTGACATTGTTCACTAAGTGATTTCATTTAATTTCAACCTTTGATCAATTCATGATTCTGCATTGTTGGCCCTAATATTAAAGTAATCCTCAAAGTTTTACATACTGTAAAAATAAATCCTGAATTGAAACTTCACAGTCTTGGTTAATTGGTTATTTTCTACATGAAAACAATTAAGTAGTTTTAATCCCATATTTGTGAAGAATTATCTGAAGACATGAAACTCAGTAAATAGAAAATTCAATGACATGTCTTGAATTTAAATATTGTTTAATAATATGAGTAATAGTTTCTGCTGTTTATCATGGAGAATATTCATGAAAAATCTGATTTATAATTTTTTCACCATCAGCCTGTTGAGTGCCTACCAAGTGCCAGGAACGGCAATAATTCTGGGCATGGGGAACAAAATAAACTTGACCCCTGGCATCAGAAAACTTAAAACTAATGAAATGAAATTTTAAGTCATAAGTCTTATCATGTAACTTGGTTTTTAATTTTTTTTCTTGTTCTCATTGTTTTTTCTTTTTCTACTTTGTTTTTTGGAACTGGTTTTTATTACTGAATGCATGAAAACCCTTTTTCAGAATTTAATACTCTCATTTATTATATCCAAAATCAGCCAGCTGTTCTCAAAATTTGCCTGTCAGTGTTAGGAAAGGTTGACATAATTTTTTTTCATTTTGTCAGAATACTAGCTGGCTCTAGCCAGATTTGTTTTGGCTAAAATTTATGATTACGAATAGTCAGTATTTCAATATAAATGAAAAAATTGTATTCCATAATTTTAAGTAGTCAGAGAAATAAAGTAGATATTTGTGTTTTTTAGTATGATACTAAAATAAGAGTATGCACTTTTATTAACTATACATAGGTAATATATGTGACTGAGAATATGACCCACCTTGTTTCTTTTATGGTGATACAATGAACTAGATATTTAGAACAATAACCAGAAGTATTTTTTATTATGAATCAATTTTCCAACATCAGATATTTTTTCGAAGGGCAGATTTATCAGAGAGGTTCTTTTATCTGTACATCGAGAATTTTATTCTACCAAAACAAATTAACATACCCAATTATTTCTAGAGAGCAACCAACTTTGTTATTCCAGACAATCTTTCAGCACCCCCAGTAGGTGGAAGAATCACCTTCCTTGGGGATTGGAGTATGGGAGGGCAGACAGATGTACCCAACGTCCGCTCTAAGGAACAGGAAATTCTGTGCATGCTTTCTCTAGTTTCATAATTCTGAGTGTGGAAGGGAATAGAGCATGTTCTTAGGTATTGCAGTAAAGATAGCTAAAGATTCATCTTTTTATGCATTTCTATACACGCAAGAAATCTCACTCTGCAGGTGCTTGTAATTTGCAACCAGTAATTCTCTAAGTCGTTTTAGTTATAATTTACTTGTGGTATAACAAAGGCCATGGAAAAACTGTAATTTTCTGCAGGAAAGATGGTTGCAATTTAGGGGCCTAGCAAGAAAGGATTTGGAAGCATCCTTTGGATACTGAAATGTATGATTAAATATATACATGGCACCTTCCTTTCCTGTTTTAAAAGGACAGCGGAGTGAAATGATTGAGATCATCTGCTGTGTGGGAATTGTGGCTTTGTCCATTTCCACTTCTGTGACCTTGGGAAAATTGTTTAACCTATGTCTCAGTTTTCTTGTTTGTAAAATGGCATGGTACCTGCCTTGTAAGTTGATGGTCTCAATTAGTATATGCAAAGTCCTTAGAACAATGCCTGGCATAAAGTAAGCCTCCAGGACTGTTAGCTGTTCCTAAGTCTTTGTAGCTGCATTTTCACTGTTACTGTGAAAGAATACTGTAGTCACATTGCATTAGAGCCAGAAAGATGCTCATTCTACAGATGATGATACTGAGACCCTGAGAAGTGATCTCATCTCTTCAAGGTCATGCAACTGCTACGTTGTCACAGGGTCACAGGGCTTTTGCCTTTCCCTGGGTGACTTTGCTAGAGAACATTGCAGGTCTAGAATTCCCAGCTCTGGTCTTGGAAAATAGCAGGTTTTCTTGTTGAAATTTCTTACTAATATGAACAGCCTCAATCTTCATTCTGTGTAATGGAGTTAACT